AACCAAACGTATGACTATTTCTAACAGCAGTCGTAAACGTAAGCCATTCCCTGTACTCAGCAATAGACATATCCCTCACATTCACGCCATTCAACGCATCATTAATTTTAATACATTTTGCATTCAAATTATCGCATAATATAAAACTAACAATCATCTCGATAATCTTCACTAGTACATTCATGATCAAACCATTAAAAACTTCATGGATTGGTTTAACTTGATCGCTTATTACTAATAAATAAATAAAAACCATTGTCAAAAATATCGATGTAATTAAATTAAGAATTCAATTACATGAAAATGTCACATCGATCAATTTAATTGATTTGTGTATATCAAGATACAATAATTTATTATTTAACAATTTAAATGTTATGTCATTTGTTCCACCAAGTTTGGTTATATTTTTATCTAAAATTTACAATACTTTATAATATAAAATACGTTTTAAATGGTAATTTAAAAAATTACCTTCAAATGATTTAATCAAACTTTTATGTATGTTATTTAGTTTATGCGTATAAATAGCTCCCCCATGTTAAAGTATAGCTATAGGAATAACATGGGATTCCATGTTATTTCCCATAGGGTGGGGGGAGGGGGAGGGGGGCAGAACGATCCTATAAACCACATTATTCATACTGAATTTTGGTTAAAAATATTATCAATGTAAAGTAAATATAACCATAGTATTTGACCCAGTTACTTTGTTGTATATTCAAATCCTTATCATTGAATAGACCGGCAAATGTTAGGCCAATAATGCGATGAAACCAAAGCAATGGCCGTACGATTAAACGCAATACTTTGCAATTGGTCATGGTAATTTTAATAATATTGTTAAACAAACTATTGTTTTATTTAATATACACAGTTTGCCGACATGAAATGCTATGAATAAATAGTTTTAATTAACTAATATCTCATACATGAAATAAAACGAGCTAATTGTTTTGTTTACGCTGCAACATATAATTATTTATGGTAAATTAAATATAATTAGTATTTAACAGGATATAACATTAAATGTTGACAGAAATATATTTAAATTATTTTATAAAGGTAGACAAATAAAAAATATTTGACAATTTATTGATTTGAGATAATTATTTTGTTTACAATACAAAATATTACAAAATTAAATATAATTTAAATAATTGACATTAATAATGTTATATGCTAAAACAATTAAGGAAAGTACATGTGTATAATAAAACATAAAAATATCATTGATTAATATAATAATAGCATGATTATCCATGGATACCAAGTTGTTAGTGCAAATGAACTAAATGCAACCAAACTTAAAAATGATTGTGCTTATAATAAAACTTATTTACAATTACAAGAATGCACTGTTATTTTAGTGCACTTGTTTACTCTGCACACATTCCATGGGCACATTATTTGCACTAAAATTGGCATTATTGTACTTTTAATACTTGTATTAAAACTGTATATAAACAATACTGTATAAACACAAACACTAAACATTTATATAATATAAAATATTATAGGAATTATTGATTTAATATTTTAATAATTTTTGACAATGCTTTTCAATAGGAAACAAAAATAAATTTCAAATTCTATTTTTATATTAATATTTATATCCATACAATTCTAGTGCAAAATTTTCTATCAGAAAAATAGATTATAATTAAGTTAAAGTGAATTAAAAATACCTACAATATAGGAAATTAAAGGTTAATACAGAATAATATCTATGGTGATTACCTTAATCGATCTATCAATGCTATTTAATTATTATTTTGGTATTAGTACTTAAAAGTACCCAAAGTGCTTCAGTTACCTCAGGGTTACTTTACGACGATATATAAACGACATAAAAAGATATCATAAACATTTATAAATTATAATACATAACAAAAAAATATATTCATTTGAATATTTTCATAATGTTTGTTAAATATTATATTAACGTTATTTTTATGATAATTAGTTTATGCCTGACTTATAGTACTTGTATTGATGTAAAGACAACATCGGGTGTAGTGAGGGGTCAAACGATAGATGTGTTGAACGTAAGTATTGACCAGTTTTTGGGTATACCTTATGCCGAACCACCCGTCGGGAGACTTCGGTTCGCCAAACCTGAACCCATCAAAACACCCAAACCGGTAAAAATACACTTATTTATAAAATGTAATTTTAAAAAATTAATTTCCATTGATTTAATTTTAGGATATAATCGATGCGACAAAACCTAAAAACTCGTGCATTCAAAACGTGTCATTACTTGTCCCAAATCTAACGTTCAGTGAAGACTGTTTGGTATTAAACATATGGACACCAAATGCGGGCAATAATAACACAAACAAATCACAGCCAAAACCCATCATGTTTTTCATACACGGCGGGGGCTTAACGAGCGGCTCTATATTTATGGACTTTTTTAACGGCAAAGCTTTGGCCACAAATGATGTAATGATTGTCTCAACAAACTATAGGTTAGGACCGTTTGGTTTCCTATACGGGGATCGGGAGGACGCGCCCGGAAATGTTGGACTCTTTGACCAGTTATTAGCTCTCAAATGGGTATCAATTGATCGCTTGTTTTAATCACAATTTCTATTGAGTGATGAAATAATATATAAATTAATTATATAATAATAGGTTAGAGAGAATGCTGAACAGTTTGGCGGAGATAGGGATCAGATCACTATTTTTGGCCAAAGCGCCGGCAGTTGGTCCGTATCGACACAGATATTCAGTCCGTTAACAAAGGGTTTATTCAAGAGGGCTATTATGGAAAGCGGGGCCATTGTGTACAGCAAAAGCCGGGACCCGATCAGCACCGGTGAAGCCTTACAGTCGGCCAAAGATATAGCAAAACGTTTTAATTGCAGTGAATCTGAGGAGTGGTTACAGTGTTTAAGAGAAATACCGGCCGATAAGCTACAGACGACCGCAATCTTCCCGACATTCCCGGTCTTAGGGACTGAATATTTGCCAATTTCTGCCCAAAAAGCTTTTCAAAAAAAAAATTTTAGGACAGGTATTGTATGAATTTTATTTCATATTTAATTAACGATTTTAAATCTACTTTATATAAAATTTTGCTAAAAATTGTAAATAGTTTCAAACATAAACAATTAACATTAAACATAATTTACATTATTCAAATTTCCCACAAGATATCGATCTACTGACAGGGCTAGTGAGGGATGAGGGCTCAAGTCTGGCAGAGCCTATGGTGGGACCCCTGCCTAACCCTCTAACCGTCGAGTCATTCAAACAATACATTAATAAAACTAACGATATATACCGGGGTCTGGATGTCCAGCGATGGACAGACTATTATCTGCAAACTGTGAACCAATCGGACGCCCGGGCCCTCCGCTGGGCTTTCTATGAATTTTTAGGCGACATCACAAACAAGTGTCCGACTTATTTGTTTGCCAAACAATTTTATTTAAACCGGGATAGATCTCATAATGTCTATTTTTATGAGTTAACATATGAAAATCCTATAGTAGCTAAACTTATGAAGTGCGATCCGGAGACCATGGGCATTTGTCACGGTATGGATATCCCATATGTGTTTGGTTTACCGTTGACTACACCGGGATTTACACCCGAAGATCAGGCGCTCAGTCGTGCGGTTATGATAATGTGGACACGGTTTGCAAAATATGGGTATTTAATTACTTGTTTAAGAATTAATAGATTATGCTTATTATTATTTCAATTAATTAGAAACCCTGATGATAAATGGCCTCAATTTGTTGATAATAATCGCGTAAATATATTTGAATTAAATCCCAAAACATTGGGCCGTTTGTTGGATAATCCTTATGCTAAAAAATGTGATGGATTTTGGCATGGTTATTATTTTTAATTAATCTTAATTAAACTTGAGATGTTTAACATTGTTTTGCACGGTTTTGCCTTTTATTAATAGATAAATCTTAACAGAAATAAATGGTATAAATATTGTATTTTTATCTAAAAAGTATAATAATTTTATTAATATAATTCTTCAATAAATGTGATAAACAATATTGAATAAACTAAATGTATGTAAAATTGCGTAATTTCACGCAATTATTCAATCATGGTTTATTAACACAAGTTTTGTAACAATTATTTACAATCATTTGAAAAGCATTTATATTTCCGGATATTTGTGTGAATTTTCTTGTGATTCCATAGACCCGACGGATAACTAAATGTTTTGTTACAATCATTGAAATCACAAACAAATGATTTTTCTCCCGAATGCATGACTTTGTGTTGAATTAGATACCATTTTGTTTTAAATTTTTTGCTACAATTTTCTTCATTACATTTAAATCTTTTTTCTTTTAAATGAACACAACTTTTGTGACGAAATAGGCTACGTTTTGTTGTAAAACTTTTGTGGCATTCATTGAAATCACAAATAAACTTTAAAATTAAATGAATTATATTCTTGTGTCGTTTTAAACTTGAATTATTTGTAAAAACTTTATCACAATTATTAAAATCACATTTAAATTGTCTCATTTCTGAATGAATTGATTGATGTGAAGTTAAACATTTTATATTTTGTGTCTTATATTGACATTTAGGCCAAAAACAGTGAAAATAATCATCAGATTTAGTAATTATATGACAATTGTTTAGCATTTTATCACTGATTTTACATGAATT